TCAAATGTCAACAAGCTCTAAAGAAGACAATGGGCTTCAGCTCAGTACTCGCACTACAGAAGCAACACTACCGTCTGGCCCATGAACTACATGGCAGGCCAGGCCAAATGAATTAATAGCAGATAATTTTTTAAGTGAGGAGAGAGAAAAGAAGGAGGCAAAAGGATCAGCAACAGAGTAGAAGATGCCTAGTTCCTAGAGAGAACACTGGCAACGTGAGCACCTGCAGGGCAATGTGGGTTATAGGCAGCAGGGTAAGACAGCCCTCAATAGCTGGATTGCACAGCTCACCTGGGACTCAGGCAAGACGAACTCAGGTGCCACTGTCCAGTCTTTGGTGATTATCTGCTCAGGAAAGGCTAGGATCTGGTGAGCAGGCACAGCTGTGGGTGGAAAAGAGCCAGAGGAAATTTTTCTTGCTACTGATTATAAACATCCTTAGCTTATTTCTAAAGTACAGATAATCCTGATTCTTTCAGCAGAAATGGAACACTTTTAAAACTGTTACATGTTACCAAGAAGTGGCCTTCTCATCATAAAGAGGAATTGAGTATTTACTAGCCTCTACAACAGGTTCCACAGTTGATGGTTTCTGGTTTCATGAGTGGAAGCAATAAAAGGAATTTTTTTTTCACCTCATGTGTCATAAATTGTTCAAAGTTGGGGAAAAATTAGATGTGTTTAAAATTGCAGAACTCTGTCCAGTGTGCCAAGGATGGGAACGGTAAAGCAAAAATTAACTTGGGAGTTCAAGAAACAGCAACATCTTATGGATAAAGAGAACTGAACAAGGGCACAAGTGGCAGATGAATAGGGGCCAGATCTTGGATGCTCCTGGGTACCTCAGTGAGGAATTTGGATTTTATTCTGAATGAGTGAGAAGTCATTGTAAGATTTTAAAAAGGATGATATCATGATCAAATCAGGGTTTTAAAAAACCTTGGCTTGTTGCATGGCGAGTAGATTGTGGCAGGCTTAGAGTGGTGGCAGAAGGCGCCAGTTAGAAAGTACTGAGGTGAGCCTGGTTACACACTCCCCTGGATTAGACCAAGATGCTAACAATTCAAGAGGATGAGACATGGTTGGACTTAGCTATGTGGAGCTAAGAGGAGGATTAGGAGTGGGGTAGGAGAATAAGATCAGAGTAAAGAATGACTGCAAATTATCTGGCCTGAAATACTGGGTGAGTGGTGCTGCTCTTTATGGAGATGGGAAAGGTAAAAGAAGAGATCTGGGGGGGGTAGGGATCAAGATTTTTAGCATAAGGGCGCCTGGGTGGCTCAGTCGTTAAGTGTCTGCCTTCGGCTCAGGGCTCCCTGCTCCGCAGGAAGCCTGCTTCTCCCTCTCCCGCTCCCTCTGCTTGTGTTCTCTCTCTCGCTGTGTCTCTGTCAAATAAATAAATAAAATCTTAAAGAAAAAAAAAAGAATTTTAGCATAAAGAATGAGCATGTGCACTTGAAAAAAGCTCCCCAGGTGATCTGGATACACCTCTCCCCTGTCCACACACCACATAGTTGAGAAACAACCTGTTATCGGAACACAGCCTCTCAGAGGAATACATTCCCAGTAAGCAGAGAATTTGACAGATTACTCAACTTCTACTCAATGCGAGGGATTCTTTACCTAGAGAGATGACAGTCTCATAGTTTTCCCGCATTACATCATTGTAGAGAGCCTTCTGAGTGGGATCCAGTAACTCCCATTCTTCCTGGGAAAAATACATGGCCACTTCTTCAAATGTCAACAAGCTCTAAAGAAGACAATGGGCTTCAGCTCAGTACTTGCACTACAGAAGCAGCCCTACCATCTGGCCCATGGTAGACCCTGGGCACTGCAAGAATTAATGGCACATTTTTTTTTAAGTGAGAAGGCAAAAGAAAAGAAGCATGGGATCATCAAAGGCCTAGGAGGTGCCCAGTTCCCCAGGCAGAACACTGGAGCTAATATGCCTGTGAGCTGAGCAGTGTGGGTCCTGGGGAGCAGGGAAAGGCAGCCCTCAATAGCTGGATTGCACAGCTCACCTGGGACTCAGGCAAGATGAGCTCGGGTGCCACTGTCCAGTCTTTAGTGTTTGTCTGCACAGGAAATGCTACGATCTGGTGAGCAGGCACAGCTGTAAGTGGAAAAGAGCCAGAGGAAATCTCTCTCACTTCTGTCTATAAACATCATTAGCTCATTTCTAAAATATAGATGATCCCAGTTCTTTGGGCAGAGTCGGGACACCCTTGCAAGTGTGTGTGGTTCCCTGAAGTGGGTCTTGTCATCATACACAAGAGCCAAGTATCTACTGGTCACTAGAATAGGTTCCCCAGTTTTCATGAGTCAATAAATGAAAGACAAACTTATTTTCCCCTCATGATGTAAACTGTTCTAAGGCAAAAATTCAACATATTCGAAAATGAAGTACTCAGGATATCCAGTGTACGATAGGAGATGTAGTTGTTGTGGTTTTTAATCATTTATTATTTTTCTCCTGGTACAGAAGTGTGTTCACATTCTTCTAGTGCTTTCTAAGGAACAGAGTTCATGGGGTTATTACCAGGATTCTGTAGGCGGCCAACGCCCAGCTTTACCCACAGCTGGTGCTCTACTGCCACCCAGGGGACATCATAATTGGTAACATGGCTGCATTTGCCCATCCACATAGCCAGGCACCCAGAAAATGCTCACAATGTTCTGGCTGAACAAATTCCTCTAACAGCTCGCAATAGAAGGGAATTATGATGTGCCTTACCCCTCTCACATAGAGGCTCAGTTTCTTTATGAATATTCCTGCTCAGCTGTTCTTGCAGACCCTGGTATGTATTCCAGAATTCTTCATCCTGGGCCATTCCCACTGGCTGGGATTCTGCTGTTTCTCCCAAGATCACTGCCTCCTTTCCCAGCTCTTGGACTGCAACCTAGAAATAATCCCCATCTTGTTACCACAAAAATTACTTTTGGTTTTGGAGTTGAATGTAAAAGGAGGAAATAGTGAACAGTCCAGATGGTGGGAAATGTGTGACACTAAAGAAAATGACAAAAAGACTTAAAGGAATATCAGGACACCAATTTTGCAGAGAGCTACCCACAAAATGTTGAAATATTAGGATAAAAGGGAAAAAAAAAAATGTGGCTACTGCTAGTCCTATGACACAGCAGTCCCAACCCCTCTGCATAAAGACCAGTTCAGATCACTAGGAGGACTACATAGGCCACCTGTTCTCATGCTACTTTGACAGGCTTTCTCTTTGACTTAGATCCCTCCTTAGTGTTTTTGTCTTCTCATTTTCTCAAAAGGTCAGAAAGTTGAATAAATGAAGTTGTCTCCTCAACCATATTATCCCCATAGCCAGGGAAGGTTTTCACAGAACAGGGATGAAATGGAAGAAAGGGGAAGAAAGTTTGGCTCCAACCTACCTCCAAAATTTTTTGGCATTAAACATATGCCTGCCCTGTTTCTTCCCAGTAGGCCTGAAGCCAGTTGGTGTTCTGCCACCTGGCTAAGGACGTGCTCCCCACTAACCAGTAGAGCCAAGGACCAACCATTGAGAGCACTGTGGAGGCTCTCAACTATGAGTCAGACGAGACTATCCTTCAACGTCTTTCTTCTCTCCGCTACTCTGCTAGGATTTTCAAATCTGTTTTCCTTTCTTCTGCCTACTTTTCTCTCCCTCTGCATTCTTCCCCCATTATTTGGGTTTTCCTTCTCTTTACTATCTCCACTCAACTTTTCATTTTAAGTGTTCTCCCTTATTCAAGTCTTCCCCTTCCTCTCCAACTCCTTACTGCCTTTTATTCATTTGGAGCTCAAAACCCATGTCCTTGTACAAGCCAAAGTAGGCTTACTACCCTCAATTCAGTCTGGCTCTAGAGCACAAAAACAATCTTTCTAAAAGGCCAGGAAAGTATCTGCCAAGGATCTGCAAAACCTGTGGACTACTGTAGGTTTGTGGTTTCTGGTCCTGCCTTAGATGTCCTCCAACAGAACAGTGAACTAATTCACCTTATTTCTTAATTAACTGCCCCCACCCCATATCCTCCTCCATTCTATTTCATGGCATGTATCAGGAATCTTTCTTCTCACCCCATTCCTCGTGTGACCAGATTCCCTCTCCAAGTGTTCTACCAGGACTACAGCCTCCTCAATGCTCTGTAGATGGTCCTTCCTTATCCGGCTCTGGGTGTCCCTGGGTAGAATGGTCACAAACTGTTCTAGCACAAGCAGTTCCAAGATCTGCTCTTTTGAGTGGAGCTCTGGCCTCAGCCACTGACGACATAATTCCTGAAGTTGTCCAACAATTTCACGGGGTCCTGCTGCTTCGTGATAGCAGAAATTCCGGAAGTGCTGGCGAGAGCTTTCAGGATTGAGACTGTCCGTTTGTGCGGTATATTTCTTATTGTGACTGGAACTCTCTATCACAGGCCCCTTGCTCTCCCACAGAACCCTAATTTGAGGGTTCAAATAGTCAGCCACCTTCAGATCTACCATCATTATTCTGCTGCAGGAACAGTTTTACTCCTTTGTTGGATACTCCAGCAGCACCACCTTTGGCAAATAAGACCCAGTCAGTTCTGGAACAAAATCAATAAAAGGATCTTCTTCCTAAAACACTGAAAGCAGAAAAAAAGTGCACATCAGTAAGAAAGTCACATGAACTTTACTACACACTACTCATAACAGGAGAAAAATGAACAGAAAAATCCTGCCTTGCTTTCCTTTTATTTTCTTTTAAAAAGAGTTTATTTATTTATTTGTGAGAGAGAGAAAGAGCAGGGGGAAGGACAGAGGGAGAAGCAGATTCCCCGATGAGCGGGGAGCCTGACACGGGGTTCAATCTCAGAAGCCTGAGATCATGACCTGGCCCAAGGCAGCCACATAACTGACTGAGCCACCCAGGTGCCCCTGCTTTCCTTTTAAAGAATCCACTGCCAGACCCTTTCTTCTTCTCTGATCCACTTGAAATAAGGCACAGCGCATTGATAGACAAATGCCCACTGAGGACTTGGCCTTTGCAAAAATAATGATTCAAGAAAGGTTAGACAGTGAGAACATTTACACCCTCTGGATGCAAGGAGCCTGGGGATTATCCAAAGACTTCATTGCTGTGCTTCCTATGCCAGCTTCCCCATACCAAGGGAGATCAGGAGACTATTCTGCGTTCCTCTTAAATTTTAACGTGTCATCCCAGTCTTCTGTCTCTAGTAAGGGGGTCCAACTTCTCTGACCCTTCATCCTCTTGTGAAGACGGAAGCCCTCAGTGCGTGGAACATTCCAGATTCTCCTTTTCACTCTACGAATACTGGCAGGAGAGCTGGGACACCAAAGTGAGACCAGAGAAGAAGGGAAGTAATTAGGGAAAAAGCAGTCCTATTCTTCTCAGACAGCATCCCCGGATTAAGTAACTAGATGCTCAACACTCTTGTTTGACACTTCCCTGCAAGAAGCATAAAGGGCACCGTGCACAAGATCCATTCCTGTGTTTTTAAATCTCTTTACTTGACCCAGAAAAATCACAGCTGATCTTTGCTTACAAAACGTTTATCCACAGGCCAAGTCGCAAAGGAGGAGAGAAGGAGAGTTGGTGGTGTTGAGAGTGACCCTTCGGCCCACCATCCCTTTCTTCGACGCTCAATTTAGACCTCGAGGCGAGACTGAGGAGAGTCCCGGGACCTCGCTTTCCCTGGCGTGAGCCCGCAGGAACGGCACCCAAAGTCGACCAGGATGCCACGGTATTCCCAAACGGCCGGCCGCCGGCTGCCAGCAGGCTCAGCGGGCACCGGGACGCTTGCCGTGCTTGGGTACCAGCAAAGGCTGACGTCTCCGAGGCTGCACCGCCCGGGTCCCCGGCGCGCGGCAACACCGGCCAGCGAGGCCCCGACGCCGACTGCGCAAAGGCGGACAACAGGATGGCCTCCGGACCCTGACGGCGGGGCTTCCAGAAATGGTTCCGCCGTCAGGCGGCGCCGCCCGGCCTGGAAACACCGCGGTCCACGGACAATGGCGGCCAGGCTCCCTCCGGACCTCCGGGGCCGACGCCGCTCCCCCTGCCACCCGCTCACCTGCAGGCCGCCGCCCTCCGCCCCGCGCCGCTCCGAGGCGGGCCCCGCCCCGTGCGAGACCGTCCTCAGCACCGGCCCTCAGGCCCGCGTCGCTGCCGGGGCCCCATCCGACACCGCGCTCCGGCCGGAAGCGGACTCACGCCCTTCCGGGGAGGGGCTTCGAGCAGCCGCGCCGCGGGCCGCGGCCTCGCGGAGGCAAAGCGGCTTTCCGCCGGGTGCCGCCCTGGCGGCGGGAAAGAGTTAATGCTACCGAGTGTCCCGTTTCCCGCCGCGGCCTAGAGGGGCCTGCGCGGCTCGGCGAGCTGCTGTCGCCGCCTCGCGTCCCGGCTCCGGGAGGCGCTGCGCGTCCGGCTGGTACCTGCGTGGCTTTCGGGCGGCTGGCTGCGCCTGATCCCCCGAGCCCCGCCCGGCGAGGGTGGCCGCCCCTGCGCGCGCGGGGCCCTCGGTCTTCCTGGGGCTTGCGTCCCGGTCGGGATCGGCGGCCCCCGAGGGCTTGTTCCCTCCTCTGGGCCGCGCGTCCCTCACAGCGATCACGTTTTCCTGGTGAGGTAGGTTTCAGCCGCTGAGACGGGCCCCATTTGTAGTGTCCTTGACAGGGACATGGAGGCGCGGCTCGGCCCGGGTCCCACGAGCGACGGGCGGCGGCCCCTAGTATGGGATTTAGGTCCCCTGCAGTCTTGGCTCCCGCTCCGTCCCCCACGGCATGCTCCCTGGATGATGGGAACCCCCTTTCCATCTTGTGTCCCCTGCAGTCTCTGCCAGAGTTCGTGAACCCTACTTCTCAGGATCCGGGCATTTCAGGGTGTCGGCGTCTCCTAATCATCAAGGCTCTCCTAGCGTCAGCCTTCGCCAGGCAGCGGGTTACTTAGTAGGTCCACTACGTGCAGGCAGGGCTAGAGTGCACAGGGCAAAGTCTTTGCTGCAAGGAATCTGACCAAAGGACCGGGGCATTTTCGTGACCGTCAGTAGTTACACAGGCTAGGAAGAGCTCGGGAGGCCTAGGCTGAGCGCTGCGGGAGTCCAAGGAAGTCAAAGTTGACTTATGGTTGGGGAAATGGGCAAAGACCTTGAACCTCCGTGGTCTGTCCGCACCACGGAGTGGGGCCACATCCACGCAGAGGGAAAGCTGGAAAACATTGGGGTGTGAGAAGATCCGTCATACGTTTTCACTAAGTGTGATCGGGCTACATTTGGAGGAAGACTTAACAGTGAGAAAGTAAGTTCTAGTAGCCCTCTCACGGGGTGCGTTGCATGGCAGTGAAGAGACTGCATTTAATAAAAGTAAATCCTGGAGCATCGCTGGAGGCTTTCTGAGGGAGCTTCTTTCCAGGGCAGTTCATCTGGAAGTAAGGTGAAGGTGGGAATGAAAATGGGAGACCAGTACCAGGCCATTATATTACTTTTGCTTGTAGGTGGAATCCTGTTATGCTTCTCTGATCCTTTCTCAAAGGATTAAACACGGGAGATAAGAATAAGCATCTGCCTAAGTCACTTGAATAGGTTTCAGAGCAGGTTCATTTCCTTGGAATCCGAGTCAGGTTGAGACTTAAGTTTCTTCAAAAGCAATTCT